CTTTTCCTTTGGCCTTGTTCTTACCTGCAAGACAAGGAGAAAGAGAGCAATCAGTCAGCATTTGGAATCAAGCTTCCAGTCAGGAACTGACTGCCTGGAACCCCTTACCTGATTACTTACCTGGCATTGCTCTCGAGTACTCATCTTCAACATCTTATGCTTCCAGAGAAGACACCACATCTGCCTAAGAAACCGATAGGGAAAGTGAAAAGGATACAAGGAAACATGTGGAGACAAGCGTAACAGAACACGTGCCGATACATCCACTACTTTGTCAACAGCAAAAGTATCCCATATCAGCACGGTCGAACGTACTCTAGATTTGATGGACTTGTTTTTGACCCTCAAATTCTTCAGTCGGCCTTATACTTTGGAGGAAACCAGAAAACCCTCCAGCCCAGTTCAAGAATAAGCCTATGGAAAGTTACTTCTTCAAAAGCAAAAGTAACTCATATCATCTATTCTCCTTTTCTTCTCTTTATCCGCTGCCTGCAAGATAGGGAGAATGAGAACAATCAGCCGGAACTCGAAATCAAACTTCTGATCTGGGACTAATTGCTTGGAGCTCTGATTGCTTACCTTGTTTATCACCTCTTTCAGCAGATCCCCTTGCTCGGCGACTTGGGGGACTCCTACTACATGGTTTGTATCGCGCTTGACCAAGCCTGAAACTACAAGTAAGCTTCAAGTGAAATTGATACATTACCTTGTGCATCTCCACCAGTTAAAGATACCACCCCTGGATGGAGGAAGAGTACTTAGAAGTTTCGTGATTACGAGATCATTCTCCCACAATATTTCCTAATGTCACTTGTACTCAATCATTCATTTGTACTCACTAAAGGAGAGCTTGAACCTATGTACTTGTGTAAACCCTTCACAATTAATGAGAACTCATTTACTCCGTGGACGTAGCCAATCTGGGTGAACCACGTACATCTTATGTTTGCTTTCCTGTCTCTATCCATTTACATACTTATCCACACTAATGACCAGAGCAGCAATAACTTAATACTTTCTGTTGTACCAAAGTCCTCACTGATTTTGTGTGCATCAACAATCCTTAAGTCCTTAACCTTTTGCGTTGGTAATGGATGAGTTAACAGGACATATTCAAGATGATATTTCTTGGTGTATGCTTCTCGCAAATGATATAGTGTTGATAGATGAAACTCAGGAGGGGTAAATGCGAAGCTTAACCTTTGGAGAGAAGTGTTGGAATCTAAAGGTCTTCGCCTAAGCCGATCAAAGACAGAATATATGGAGTGCAAGTTCAGTGCAAATGGAGGCCAAAATGAGTTTAGAGGCGAGGATCGGAGAGATCAGGTAATACCAAAGAGCGACCGTTTTCGCTACCTAGGATCTATCTTGCAAAAGAACGGAGAATTAGATGAAGATCTCAACCATAGAATACAAGCTGGATGGATGAAGTGGAATAGTGCATCCGGCATGTTGTGTGACCATCGTAGGCCACTGAAGCTTAAGAGAAAATTTTATAGAACGGCAATAAGGCCGGCGATGCTGTATGGCACAGAATGTTGGGCGGTGAAGCATCAACACGTACACAAAATGGGTTGGACATGTGCAAAGAAGGCCTACTGACGCTCCGGTTCGAAGATGTGACTACGGGATAGAGGTTCAGGGCCGAAGGGGTAGAGGAAGACCTAGGAAAACTTTGGAAGAGACCCTAAGAAAAGACTTAGAGTACTTGGATCTAACGGAGGACATGACACAAAACCGAGCGCAATGGCATTCTAGGATTCATATAGCCGACCCCACTTAGTGAGAAAAGGCTTTGTTGTTGTTGTTGTTGTTGTACTTATACATTATAATCTTTGTCATGTTACAGCTTCTCAGTTTCATTATAAGTTTCTTGTGGTCTCGTAGCAGTTTCCTTTATTCTTTCCATACAAGATCAGAGAAAAAGTAACAAAAAATTGTGACTAAAAACTGCCCTCAAAACACATACAATTGATAGAGTCTGTCCTTTCTCAGGGACAAGTAACATAATTGAACTAGCGGAATGAATAAAACTTTTCTAAAGAGTGCAGATGGATATTCTCCAACACCAGAATCAACTCAATTCGGTGGTAAACAGGTATTGCACCCTTCTGGATTCAAAGGTGCAATAAGCTAGAAGCTACATCGCACTTTTTTAACTTCCACTAATAAGAAATCAATGTAATTAAGTTTCTGACCCTTATTCAGCGTTATTGTTGCAAAAAGATTTTCTGGTACTGGTGCCTGAATCCTTATTACACAGCTCTATGGTTAATTTCAGTTTCAAGCAGCTGCAAGGACTAATTTGTGCTAATCTTGAAGGAATCAAAGCATGTTCCTGTTCTTTTGAATCATAACTTTTTCTGGGTTATGGAACAAATATAATTTCCACGTTATTATTTTTTTCAAAAAAAAAAATTCTACGTTATTATTATTTACAGAAGGGAAGGGGGGACGCTAACGCATTTTCCTTCAAAAATCCTGCCATGTTCCAAAAAATTGATTGTATACAGGAAGGATTAAAATTTCAGGATTCAAAAGTTTTTACCAAATGGCGGCTTCAGGCTCTTCCACCCCGGGCTAAGCAGAAATTGTTACTACCCACTACAGGCAATAATACATCAAACATTACCAACTTCATAAGATGTGAGTCAAGATGTTATTCTAATAAATAAAACTAAAGCGACAAAAACAAAGAGGAAAACTTCAGTGAAACGATTACCAGCGGAACCCTATTCACACTCTTCTCTATTCACATTTTCGGTAAACATATAATTATATCAAATTAGATTATATAATTCTTGTTAAGCTACTAAGCTTCAACTTTAGTGATAAATACCGCGTCTGAGACTCCTTCTCTTCAAACAATTGCCTGCCGGAACCAGCGCGAGGACCAAATTCGAAACCTATCAACATTTAATTTACAATTAGCTAAATTCTTAATGCTTAAAGATTTAGTTTCCTTTTCTAGTAGCGCTAATCCACCTAAAATGTAAAGAATTTAAGGAAGCAATAGGCATGATAATCTATCTGATCATAATTAACTACCGTTTGGTACCTGAAATATCAAAGGAAAATTTTTCAATTTACTTCTTGTTCTTGTAATCTCAGTTTTTCAACTCCCAAAGAACTAAATGCACACACATGAATATAGAATGCATACAAATACAAGGACGGAGCTACCATGGGCCTAGGGGGGCGGATGCCCCCATTGAGATTTTTCTGACGCTGGGATGCTGCTCAAATTGAGCTGGGTTTGCAGCAGCAAAGCCCCCACTGAACTCATCTGGTTCTGCTCTCCGACCTGGTTCTGCAAGAAGCAGAGCTGGGTCTTATATTTTTTTTTTTTTAAATCCAGGCCAAAACGACGTCGTTTTGGTCCTGGTACAAAAAAAAAATAAATGAAACAGCGTCGTTTCGTATATGTTAACAAAAAAGAAAGTATGTTAAAGGTGGACTGTGGGGACAAGCGGTCCCCCCTTTAATCTCTAACCCCATTCCCTGATTCCTTCCCATCTCTCTGTTCCTTTTTATTTCCCTTGCCAAACAGAGAGCAGCGTGGTGCTACTCTCTTTCCCCAAATTCCCAACATCTTGAAACTGAACAGAACAGGAGCAAGGTGTTGTTCCCAGCCACGCCAACAGTTAGCCACTCCAGCCAGCTACTCTCTAGCCGACATATATATATTTATGGTAAAATTCTTAATTCCTAAATCTATAATCCCTAACCCTAATTAATTATTTAAGACGTTGGGAAAGGCAAAAATCAAGAAACTACTTTGAAACGTGCTGGAGAAACACGTTGGGGTTCACACTTTGGTACTTTAGTAAGTATCATGACTATGTTTTCATCCATACTTGATGTACTTGAAGTAATAGCAGATGATGGAGTAAGCTCTCAACAAAGATGTGAAGCAAATAATTTATTGGATTCCATGCAATCATTTAATTTTGTGTTTAATCTACACTTGATGAAAGATATACTAGGAATAACCAATGAATTGTCACAAGCATTGCAAAGGAAGGATCAGGATATTGTAAATGCAATGAAGTTGGTTGGAGTTTGTAAGCAAAGGTTGGAGATAATGAGGAAAAGTGGTTGGGATTCTTTACTTAGTGAAGTCTCAGAATTTTGTCTTAAACATGATATTGATGTGCCTAATATGGATGATATGTTTCTTTCTCGAAGGCGAGGGCAACGAAAAGCACAAGCAGTCATAAATATGCATCATTATTGTGTTGGGATATTTTATGTTGTTTTGGATTGGCAGCTTCAAGAACTAAATAATCGTTTCAATGAGACCAACACTGAGTTACTTCTTTGTTTGGCATGTTTATGTCCAGCCGACTCCTTCTCTGCTTTTGATAGCCAAAAGCTATTGCGTCTTGCCCAGTTTTATCCTAAAGACTTCTCTATGAATGAGCTGGTGATACTTAAGATTCAACTTGAGACTTACATTATGGATATGCGGTCTAGCATTGAGTTTTCAAGTTTAAAAGAGATTGGAGATCTTGCAAAAAACATGGTTCAATGCAAAAAACACAAGGTGTATTCGCTGGTTTACTTGTTTGTGACATTAGCACTAACTCTTCCAGTTGCTACTGCAACCGTTGAAAAAGCATTTTCGGCCATGAAAATTCTGAAGAATCGATTGAGAAATCGAATGGGAGATCAATGGATGAATGATAACATGGTTATTTTTATAGAGAGAGAGAGATATTTAATGGTATTGGTAATGATGTTGTCATGCAACGCTTTCAGAACATGAAAACACGTCGAGGGATATTGTAAGGGACTGTTGTATGAAAAACTTTTTGGATTAATATATAAGTATTGTGTTTAGTAAATTCTTGAGCTTTTTAATTATGACTTTGTTGTTTGAGGATGACCCCATTCACACACAGCAGTTCTGGCTTCGTCCCTGTACAAATATGTATGTATGTGTGTGTGTGTGTGTGTGTGTGTGTGTGTGTGTGTATGACAGATGAGGAGACGGGGACCTGGAGGGTAGGAACTGTGAAGGCCGCCTCTAGCGGTGGCAGGACGAAGAAAAGAGGAGAAGCCTGAGAGAGAGAGGAACAGGATGGAAAGAGCAAGCTTCATGATGTGATCTTTGGATTGACGATGGTGGCGATGGAGCTCCAGAATCGAATTCAGGAAGCCATTGTTGGAACTTGGAAGGAGTAAAAGAAGATGAAAACGTAACGACGAAGATTGGAGATGCTGGATCTCGGGGGGAAAATGGGCTGCAAATTCCATTGGAAGCGAAGTAACGGGGACTTCGAGATATGGGTTGCATATGAATCTCGGCCCATTTTTCAAACCGCCCGAACCAAACTAAATTCTATAGGTTGATTTTTTTTTTTTAATAAACAACAATATTTTACATTATAGGGCTTCAATTGGCATAACAAGATTTAAAGTTTCTAATTTTTTTTTCATTGCTCATTTTTTGTTTTTCTTGTTCATTGACTACTGTTTTTGTTTGCAAAACCCATTTTTCGGTAAATGAATATGACTCAACAACTTAAACTGAGTTAATGGGGACTGTAAGATCAAATCAAATTGTCAAATATGTGTTGACACTAAGTCATATATTTGACCGCAGTGAGTTCATGTAGTTACGAATAAAAATTGTATCTTGTAATTGATAAACCTAATAATTCTACAGGTTATCCACGTCAGCAATCCTTGTCAACTCAGCAACCACAGTCCGCAATATATGGTTCTCACTCAACCACTCCAACACAGAGTTTGGATAACACACAATGTCCTCAACAGATTGAGAAGGATCATAGTCCTCCTTAAACATGACTCTATCATCATAGTGTACCTTAGCTTTCTGTTATGTATTTTTGTAATTTGAATTCGATTGTAATTCTGATACCAGATTCATTGTAATCTTGTAAAGCCTATATAATGAAGTACATGACTCACTCATAATTAATTGAGTTGAGCTTATGCAATTGATTATTTCAACCCTAGCTTGAATTCTTTCATGGTATCTCAGAGCTAAAGTCTCACCACAAAAACAAATTTTTTTTTTTTCATGGCGTCCTCTTCTTCTCCCTTACCTAATGCCTCCAATTTTCTCACCCTTAAACTTGATCGTACCAACTACCCTCTCTGGCAAGTTCAGATGCTTCCTCTTCTCCGCAGTCGCAATCTTGTCTCTTTTGTCGATGGCACCAGTCAATGCCCCCAGCATTTCTGCAAGATGCAGATGGCAACATCACTGACAAAGTCAATCCTGACTTCGAAACCTGGATTCAACAGGATGCTACATTTCTGTCCTGGATTAATTCTTTTGTTCACCCCACTGTCCTTGCTGCTTTAATTGGGAAAACCAGTTCTCACTCTGCTTAGACAACCTTCCGTGACCGCTATGCCTCTCAGTCAACCGGCCGTCTTCTTCAGCTTCACAGTGAGTTGATGAATACTCACAGAGGTGATTCCTCCATTTCTGAATTTTTAGATAAAATCAATTGTCTAGCAGAGACTCTCTCTCTCTGGTGCTCCTGTTTCAGACTCCGACATTGTCGCCATCATCCTTAACAATGTTGGTCCTGTTTATGAGAGCATGGTTGCCTCCGCTCAAGCTCGTGACGAGGCCATCACCTACAGTGCTTTGGAAGCACTCCTCATTGGCGCTGAAAGAAGACAGAAATTGCGTTTTGCTTTTACTACTGACACCGACCCAACTGCCTTTGCTGCAGTTCACAATGGTGGTCGTTCATCTCCCAGTTTTTGCGGTCGTGGCTCATCTTCTACATTCCGAGGTCGCAACAGTCCCACTGGTGGTCGTTGGTCCTCTTCTCGGCCATGCAACTCCCCAGGTTCTCATCATGGATCTCACCAACATTCTCACTCTCGCCAACCTGATGGTCTTCTTGGTCAATCTCCAAGTTCTTTTCCTACTGGTCGGATCCAATGCCAAATTTGTAACATACATGGTCATTCGGCAATCGGCTATTTCAACCGTCTCAACCTGTCTTATGAAGGGCGTGTTCCAGCGCCAAAACTTCAAGCCTATACTGCTGGTGTTCCCCCTGCCTCTGCTAGTGCTCCAGCTCTCCAGAATTGGCTTTTCGACTCTGGTGCCAATGCCCACATCACCAATAATCCAGCTCAGGTGTTTAATCCTTGTCCTTACCATGGTACTGACCAAGTCAATGGTGTAGTAGGTGGAACAGGTTTGCACATCTCTCATATTGGAAACTCTTGCATTCGCACACCCAAAGCCATTTTTAAATTACCCAACACACTATTTTGCCCTACTGCATCCACCAATGTCATATCCATTCATAAATGTACCACTGACAACAACTGTTCCCTAACCTTATATCCAAATTCCTATGGTGTTCAGGATCTTCACATGGGGAAGACACTTTTCCAAGGCCCGAGTAGAGATGATTTCTACCCTTTTTCCAGTATTTCATCATGCAATAAAGGAGTCTCTACATTCATAGGTGCTAGGGTGTCCAATCATGTTTGGCACTCTAGATTAGGTCATCCATCAACTCATGTTTTGAATTCTTTAATTTTCAAGAATAAGTTACCCGTGAATGGTGTTGTAACTAGTGACTTTTGTCACTCCTGTCCACTCGGCAAGAGTCACAAGTTACCCTTTACTTTGTCTAGTTCTAGGTCAACTTTTCCTTTACAATTAATTCATTCGGGTGTATGGACTTCTCCCTATGTTTCAATCAATGGATTTAAGTATTATGTAGTATTTATTGATGACTTTTCTAGATACTCCTGGTTATATCCATTAAAACTAAAATCAGATGTTTTTTCTACCTTTGTAAATTTTAAAAAATTAGTTGAAAACATGTTTAGCACCACAATCAAATCCTTTCAAACCGATGGTGGCAGTGAATATATTAATAATAATTTCAAAACTTTTTTTACTTATCATGGTATATATCATCGTTTCACATGTCCTCATCATCCCAAACAAAATGGTATTTTCAGAATGTAAACATCGTCATATTGTTGAAACCGATCTTACTCTTCTTGCTCACGCATCTTTACCCACTTCCTTTTGGGATGATGCTTTTCATACTGCAACTTATTTAATCAATCAGTTACCCACTAAGGTCTTGAATGATGAGTCCCCATTTCAAAAACTCTTTCTCAAAACTCCTCATTATGATATTCTTCTTAAAATATTTGGCTGTGCATGTTTCCCATATCTTAAGCCATACAACTCCAATAAATTACAGTTCCGTTCTACCCGTTGTGTGTCTTTCTTCTTGGTTACTCATTAAATCAACAAGGTTAGAGCAACTTCACCCTTGGAGCCCTTCCCCCTGGCAATCCACTATTGAATCCACCATATTGAACAGTAACTGCCTTTAATGAATAGTAACTACCTTTAATGAACAGTAATTATCTTTTGCATCTCCACACTTGGAACTCTCCCCCTGACAATAAGTAATAAAATATTAGTTTTTTTTTGTTTGTTTAAATAATATAAAATAAAAAAAACATGGAAATGGGGCTGCAGGCCCTCGGGCTGACACAAAAAAAAATAAAAAAAAATGCTTAGCCCTCGGGCTGCAGGCCTGTCAATTCCCCACCCCCCTTGTGCTCGGGCTCTCTAAGGCTGGAGGGTTGTCCACCTGGCCTCGGGCCCTTTCCTGGTGCCTGTCCCCCGAGCAATCCACAAGGATGGACTTGCTCTTATAAGTGTCTAGATATGTCTACCGGTCCCGTCTTCTTGTCACGTCATGTTCATGTTGTCTTGATGAAACTACTTTTCCCTATAAAGAAACCACCTCTACTCCGTTTTCTTCTTCTCCCTCCTCACCTAACATCATAATTAATATTGACCCCCCCATGCCCACTTTTCAACCCATGTCGCGTCTTCTTGTCACGTCATGTTGTGAAACTATTTTTTCCTATAAAGAAACCACCTCTACTCCGTTTTTTCTTCTCCCTCCTCACCTAACATCATAATTAATATTGACCCCCACCATGCCCACTTTTCAACCCATTTCCCCGACATCACCTACACCTATCTCTTCCATCCCTAATGCTACCCCATGTCCTACGCCTACCCCACTTCCATCACCTATACCCATTTCTGCCACCCCTATTTCACCTCCATCACATCTTCCTGCCAAAACACTTCCCACTCCACCCGTCCCTTCTGCCAACCCCACGCCGTCCTCCTTCAATCCTCCAGCTAATAATTCACCCTTAGATCCCCTAGTATCTCTCCACCCTGCGACTGCAAGTACATCCACTACCAAAAGAAGATTTAAAGTTTCAAATTCTTTTTATAAATCTAAAACATTGATCTTCTATCTTTTTACTTGTTCACTCAGTTACTGTCTGCAATACCCGATTACAACAACTGTTTTCTTCGATGGCATTGACTTTGAGCACCAATAGAGCCTCGGCATCTTTTCTTTTCAATGAATCAGCTCCTCGATGGAAGTATGATGTGTTTTTGAGTTTCAGGGGTGTAGACACCCGCAAGGGTTTTGTATCCCATTTACACCATGAATTGTCCAAGTGCCAAGGAATTACGACTTTCATGGACGATCGAGAGCTTCAAGGAGGAGCAAGTATTCATGTTGAGCTACCAAGTGCGATCAAAGAATCGCATATTGCAATTGTTGTTCTCTCACCAAACTATGCTTCTTCCAAATGGTGCTTGGATGAACTCACAACCATTCTTCAATGCATGGAAGCCAGGAACTCAGTTCTGCCGGTCTTTTATCAGACAGATCCATCTGACGTCGGAAATCAACGGGGATGTTTTGCCGAAGCCTTCGCGGAGCATGAAGAAAAGTTGATCAGTATCGAAGGCAAAAAGAAGGTGCTCCAATGGAAAGCTGATCTAAAGCGAGTGTCCAAAATTTGTGGTTGGACTTCGAAGGAATCTAAGTAAGCATGAACAACTTTAATTTCCCATGTCTTAGTAGAGTCAAAATTGAATGCTTCGTTTATGTTTTTTCAATGGTTATTTTTATTTATACCATGTAGGTGTGTGAAAGTGAGCTTATACAAAAATCGTTAAAAGTGTGTGGAGGAAAGTGCAAGCTACACTCCCGTTGTTAGATTCCTCACAAAAATTAGTTGGGGTTAATTTTGGGCTTGGGCAACTAAGTTCTCTATTAGCTCATGATGTCAATGATGTACGCTTTATAGGGATAACGGGGATGGGTGGCATAGGTAAGACAACCCTTGCTAAGCTTGTTTATGATAGAATCTTTCA